ATATAACTATATATATACTATTCAGTCATTTTTCATAATAGAAGCAAGAGATTTTGCTGGAACTCGGATCCTTAACTAGCCATCTCTTGGTGTTGCTGGTTGAGGAAGTTTATATTAATTCATTAAGTTAGCAAGTATTTGGGTTGTGGGACCGCTAGACCCAAAAAGATAGATTCAGCACAGAGCACATTCATATTAAACTGTGCAGTAATTCTGTTGACCACACACTGACTAGTGGGATTAAAATCATGCTAACATACTCAATTGTCATTACAAGTCTGTATTTTGGGATCAAATTGGGTTTTATGATCTTCACCCCCATGCCTGGATGCTACTTTCTCATGCAGATGCCCTTTCTTCCAGAGAGCAGACTATACCTCTCTTCTGAATTTTATACTTTCAGGGTAGGTGGCAATCAGATCTGTGAAGATCTTGGGATTGCTTCTCTCAAATCCAGTGTGACCATCTAGTACGTTTCCTAACAAATTCATACGTGAAATTTTCCATTTTGTAACTTTTTGTCCAACATTTAATTTACTCTGGGCTGAGATAGCAGAAAAACAGATATTAGTTCACTTTTATATATTTTCCATAAAGTTGCACTGCACTATACCTTGTTTATTTTTTTCACCAAGGCTTGGCTCATCGTTTGTATGGTTTCTTTCCAAGAGGAGCCCCATTTCATTCATTTCTTTATTTCTATCCTTTTTTCCTTACATCCTGTGATGGAGAACTCATTACATTAAAAGACCCCCTATTGAAAGTTCAGGCAATTCTAATCATCAGAATGGGTTTTTGATGTTGTTGTGCTGAAATCTTCTTCCCAATAGTTTACACACATTGAATTGATCCTGGTTCTGCCCTCTGGAAGGTACAAGTATAAAATACAAAAGTGCCTTTAACCCTTGATAGTCTGACACGCCAGAGTCAGTGTTCTGGTTCTTTCCCCTGCCCATCTGTAAAACAATCTACTTGACCTGTGACTCAACTTCCTCATCTTCAAACTTGGAGACATCATAATAGTTCCTACCTTATAGGATTGGTAAGAGGAATGAGTCAGTATATGTGAAGGGCCTGGAAGAGTACCTAGCATATAGAAAGCACTCTATAAGCATTAACTATGATAGTAGTAATAATAATAGTATGACATAGTGCTATTAACACTACTAATTATCATTCTTTTATTAACAATCAGTTGCATTGGGCATTTTACTAAGCACTTTCAATATGTTATCTCATTTAATCCTTAAACAGTTATGTTCTTACAAAAAACCTCCTCTCTTATTTCATCTCTTTCTGATGTGATATATCTTTTCAAAGTCACTCACCATCCTATATACTCCTGAATTTGTAGATTTCTCTGAAAATACTAAATATTCTGACTAGTGTAGAATGGAATGATCTTATCACATCCTTCATTCTAGAATAGCCACTATATGTCTATACATGCATCCTAAGATCATAGCAGATACTGTGGATGCCATATCACAGTTGAATCCAATTGTGTGTGTTTTTTCAAAGAACCAATTGCATCGCCCGGCTGGTGTGGCTCAGTGGTTGAGTGATGACCCATGAACTAGGAGGTTACAGTTCAATTCCCTGTCAGGGCACATGCCCAGGTTTCAGGCTTGATCCCCAGTAGTGGGTGTGCAGGAGGCAGCTGATCAATGATTCTCTCTAATCATCGATGTTTCTCTCTCCTACTCTCTGAAATCAATAAAAATATGTTTTAAAAAAACGAATTGCATAACTGATTTAGGGACTTTTTTATTTTACTGATTTGAGAAAGAGAGAGAGAAAAAAACATTGGATTTGTCACCCATTGATGCATTCATTGGTTTATTCTTGTTTGTGCCCTGGGGATCGAACCAGCAACCTTGGTGTAGCTAAACAATGCTCTAACCAACTGAACTACCTTGACAGGGTTACAGTTGAATCCAGTTTAAGTTGCAATCAACTGAGACTCTCCCACCCCAGATCTGTTTCATACATCCCTGTTAATGCACTTATATAAGTCCATTTAACCCAAGTACAGAAGCTTTTATTTTTCTGGGTTAAATGTTGTCTTGTTAGATTCTCTCCCTCATTCTTTGAATCCAGGTTCTGTTATTCAGTACATTAGCTACACGATATTAATTTAAAGCACACCAGTCTCAGGAAAGATCTAGGGGAGATCTCAGCAAAGAGCTCTGACTCCAAATAGAAAATTCCTTTTCCCTGTTGAGTGTGGCAGCCAGGAGTGTGTGCCCTGCTGGGCCAGTTCCCTTCATTTCCTCTCTCAGTGTGACTTCTCAGGATAGGATTACTTTCTAGTGCTGCTGATAGAAGACACAGTTGCCCCTGAAAGCTCCCAAACCAGTATAAATTAATCCTTGATGAGAACTTGGTAAACATGGGGGGTGGGCAGACAAGGGAGGTAGAAGGAATTAGAACCAGGAAAGGAGGGAAGGAAGACAGTGTCTTGGTATTGGCTCTAAGTCTCTGCTGGGGTCCAGCCCCAGCGGGTCCAGGGGTCCCCAAAGGTGTGGACGGAGTCGGCGAATAAGGAATGGCGAAGTTCTGGTTAGGATCCAGCCAAGTTCTGGTCAGGATTTCCAGCGAAGTTCTGGTTAGGATCTCCAGCCAGGTTCTGTATATGTTCTCCTGCCATGTTCTGTCTAGGTCCTCCAGGCAAGTTCTATAGCCAGGTTCTGTTCAGGATCTTTTGCCATGTTCTCCTGCTAGGTTCTGTCTCTAGGTTCTGTTTCTAGGTTCTGTGTAGGATCTCCAGCCAAGTCCTGTCTCTAGGTTCTGTGTCCTGTTGTCTTGTGACATCTGTATTTATACCAGTTGATTTTAATCCTGTCAATTTCTATTCCAAAGGTTAGGGTGTTTCTTATCTCCATTCCAGGAAGTATAGATTATGTAGCTTAAAGCGTGATTGTTCTTAGTTAAAGTGATTAACTACCCGCCTGGCACTTAGTTAAGGGGTTTTATCCCCTCCCTAACTTCAGGGGAAAATCCCTACCTGGGAAAACAACCTTTCTCAGAGAGGTGACCTTGGTTAAAACACATAGCGCCAAGAAGGTGAGCAAACATATTAAGAACAGTATGCCATATATGCCAGGTCCCTTGAAACAGCAAGGATGGACCGGCTCCCGGCAAGTCTCTGCCTGATTATAGCTGATTTGGGGTTCCCTTGAGAGGAAGGGCTCTCAACAAGGAATAGGTGAAGGTGGTCCTGCGATGGCGACAACCATTTGTTACAAATGAATTGTGATCGGCCCCTTGTCTGTATGTGATCAGGGTGGGGGCTGTGAAATAATCCTTCTGATAGATTTGATTTGCTACTGCTGATGTAAGGTCCTGTGGCGATGTGTTGCTGGGCTCACTATTGCTAGTGAGGGTTGAAGTCTAAGGAGGTCCATTTTACAGGTGAGAAAACTGAGGCTCTGGGAGGTTACAGATTATTCCCACAGAAACAGGTGATAGTAAGTAGCTAAGGTGGGATTTAAATCCCAGCAATATGACATGAGAAATTGAACCTCTAACCACTTTGTAAAACTGTTCCTGGGGCCCTAACCGGTTTGGTTCAGTG